AAAAATATTTACATATAACATCTAATAATACCTGTTCGAAGATTAAAACCAATGAGTATTTCTTTATTCGGTCCAATAACTACATCTAAACAATGTTTACCTTCAATTCGTCCAACAGATTGATTTTTTGTATTAAAATGTATAAATAAAGAATGTTTTATGACTCCATCCGATTTCCAATCAAATTTAAGTAATAAACTATGATCACGTGGAAATAATCCAATATCCCATATATTCATACTATTTCCAGCAGTAAAATGACTAACAAATATTCGTTCACGTGACATTTTATTATAAATATATACTTGTTGTAAATCTTTACTAAGTATAGCTAATAATTGATGATTTATTGCAATACGAAATGGTATAAATTCTGATGTATCATCAAATGATATGAAATTATCACGTTTAGAAAGTTTAAATGAAATTTCATCTGTTAATAATGGTTGTGTATGAAAAAATATAGTTTGTGTAATTGTATCAATAGCCCATAAACGATTTTCATCAGCAAGATATTGACCTATAGGATTAGATAATTGAATAGGTCCATATTCAAGAATACCTTCATGTGAAAAAATAAAAAGATAATCAATTTTATCTTTTTCACGAGTATGTACAAGCATAAAGCGACTAAATACAGTAAATGATTGAACAAAAACATGTGTTTGTTCAGGAAAAAGATTAAACGATCGAATATATCGTGGAGAATCATAAGTAACTGGTGAAATATAATTAAGAAGAGATATAATACCATCTGAACTACAACTAAAAATTAATGTTGATTTACCAAGTGGATAAACACATAAATGAGTCGGAAGTGCTTTGACAAGTACAGTCCACATTGGTAATTTAGTTGGAATAGATTGAAATGATGTATCACCATAAGAATTAATCATTGATTGATCAGATGATGCATCTGATATTTTCGAATCAGAATTCATAGATTTGAAACGAAGTTCACCCAATATATTAATCGATGATTTTGTTTTTGGAGGACTAAGTATAGGTACCTAAAATAATAATTGAAGCAAATACACTAATGTATTTAGCATAACTAACTATATCTGCTTTATGTTTGAGTAATCGTAATTGTCGATCAGCTTCTTCATTTAAACGTTTAATTTCCTTTTCGACCTTGATATTTTCAAGAATATTGTTATTATTTCTATAATATTATATCATATAGATTAATAAATAAATAAAAAAAAAATATCAATATACTTTAAAGCATTTAATCGAGGTTCAACTAATTTTGATACTGTATTAATATCAATTGGTTGATGTTTTGATCTATAAATAAAGATTTTCTATATGTGAAAAAAAGTTGATTTCGACATACGCATTATTTTCATTTGCTTTTTGTTGCCTTATTAATACATTTTCGAGTTCTTTTTGATATTTATCAATATTTTCATTAAAATTTAATGTTCGTTGATCAATTGTAACATATAATTGATTGATTTCTTCATGAATTTTATCGAATGAAATCTTTTTTTGATTTTCTAATAATTCTTCACAAGTTTTCATTGTTTCTACTATTTTCCTCTTAAGATTTTCATATTGTATTTCACATTTTTGACAAAATTTTTCATTATCATCTATACAATTATTCTGACATGAATAACAAAGATTAGGTTTATGTTCTTCTCGTAAATATTGTTTAACCATAGTTGCTAATGTACCATGTGAAATAAGACTATTTGTAAATCGATTAATATTATCAAATGGAATTCGTGTTGAACAAATTGGACACATGACTAAAAATATATAACAATCATGATTTTATTATTATTATTAAGAAGAATTTACTAGATTTATCATTGCTTGATTCAGCTAAATATAAACAACATGAACGACAAAAAACATGACTACAAATAAGCATAACTGGATCATTATATAGATGAGATTCAGAAGGTTTAGCATGGCATGAAACAAATTCACGAGTAAATAATGGCATTAGAAAATGAAATCTAAAAAAGTTAAAAAATAACGTTTAAAAACTATAAATAAAAATGAAAATAAACATATTAGGTAATGTAACATTGAATGATAAATGTATTAGTATCATCAGTTAATGAACTAAGAAGAATTTCATTGTTTGATTTGCCTAGAGTTATATTTATATTTTTATTTGTATCAATATGTTCAATATACTGTTCATTATCTAACTGTATTAGTAATATTCTATGATGAAAACGGTAGATTAATGTTTGATTAGTCAGTTCAATATCACATGGTTCGAAATCGATTAATGGAGATTGAATTTGTTTTACAATTGAACTTGTTTGTTTATCAAATATGAGAATAAGTCCAGTTAATGCACGATCTAGAACAGCAACAAATAAGTCATTAACAGCAAATCGAAATGGATTAAATGATCGTTGTTGTTTAAATGAAATAAATTGTTTTCTTTCAAACGAATCATTTGATTGAAATATAAAATAAGAAAGTGACGATGATATCAATTCAAGACACCATAAATAATTGTTATTGAAACGAATTTGACTAATATACTCATTATGTAATGATAAAGAACGTAAAAGAATTCCATTAAATGAGTAAAAATGAATAATAGATTCAAACGGTGTATTAAAAACAACAATAAGTGAAGATGTTGAAACTGCTATGGATTTAATAATAATCATCGATTTAGATTCTTCATTATATTGTAAGATGAATCTATCAACAAGTACTAAACGTGTTGTTGTATAATTGTAAACAGATATCGAACCTTGTTGGCAACAGATAAATAATTTCGATGAATTCGAATCAAATACAATATGAGATGGATAAAAAGAACAGATCATTGTCCAGAGTATTTGTGATACAAATGGTACTGGTATATTTGAATCTGATGAAATAAGTTCACCTATTAAATGAAAAGGTATTATTGATGGCTCGAGTAGTATTGCATTTTTTTGCATTGATCCAACATACTCGGACGATTGTTGTTCAGTTAATGAATCATAACCTGAACTAGAATTTGCATCTTCAGACAAACTATTTAATGAAGAAAAATAGAGATAATATTAAAATTCAGTTGTAACTCACGTGTATTCATCGAGTTGAGCCAATATGGAGTCACTATATGTATCGATCTATGGTATATATTTAGAATGACTTTATAATATAATAAAAATAAAACAAACTTGATCGATTAATTCAGAAGTACAAAAATCAATATGTAATTCCATATTGTCTATTTTATCCATTATTTCTTTCGTATCTTGTTGATTTTTTCTAATAAATCTATGACATTGATCAATAGTAGAAAGAATATTCTTTTTTAATTCCATTCGATGATTAATAAAACATTCATGACATATATTTTTATTACAATGAATGCAAAATTCAAGTTGATCATTGTTACAATCTTTCGAATTTACTTTAAAACAAATTGAACATAAAGATTTAGTTGATGTTATCAATGATTTATCAAACTGTCGAGCAGTAATATATGGTACACAATGTAATGTAACATAGTATTTCACAGTTGACCAATCACGAAAACTATGTCGCATCGCACAAATACGACATTCTAATATAATTTCATCTTTTGTATCAAGATCTCGACGATGTAAATATGGTATACATTTAAAACAATATATATGTTTACAAGGCATCCATCTTGGATCATTAAATAATTTCAAACAAATCGGACATTTATTTCCTTGAGTTGTCATCTGTAATAAAAGTCTACGAATTCTATACGTTAGATTAAATAGTATTCACATGCAGCCAATACACTAAATAAGACTACGAAATTTGCTGTTTAATTCATCTATTTTTCATCGAAAACTGTTTTTACTATTAATTAAATACAAAAAAAAGGTATAGATGCACAAAAGAAACGACTAACTTATCATACCACAAACATTTGTTGTTTTGTTTTTTTTCTTTGAAAATGAGAACAAAAAAAAATTATGTATACTTGTTAATTAAATAAATCTTATTTAAAATAAAAACCAACAGAAAAGTTTAATTTACATAAATATCTGACAAAAACAATTGTTGGTTTTTCTTTGTACAAAAACAAAATATGCGGAATTACTAGATTATATTTTTTACGAAAAAAGTTAATAACAATGAATCAAACCATGATCATCTCGAACAGCAAAACCTAAAATAACTTCATCATCAGGTCCTAAGAGAAAAAAAAAATAAATCAAAATTCATCTTATGTATATTCGAAAAGAACGAATACTTACCAAGAACCATACTATAGAGTGTATTCGCTTGAATTCGACGTTTTTCTTGTCCATCTGAAGTTAATTCAATAAGACAACGTCGAGGATTATTATGAAATTTATGTCTTTTTAATCTATCATTTAAATTATTATAATATTTATCTTCTGTAAGTTTAAGTAAACTTCGATTATCTTTAAAAATAACTCCATCAGTTAATTTCCATTGATGATTCTGTGAATTTTCATAAGTTGTTATTAAACGTGATTTATCATCTTTAGCATATAAACGATATAGATCATGTTCAATATCAATAAGACCAATCGATTGATCCGATTGTATCATTGTTGTTGGTTCAAATAATTCATCAGAAAAATCAAATATAATTTCTTCTTCTTGTAAACATTTTTGAATTTCTTTATTATCATTGGGTGCCATATAACAATAGACATTATTTTGCATTGGATTAAGAGCCCAAAGACGACCATAAATTTGATCAGCAAGAATAACTCGTATAGGATGTGATTGATAAATACCATCAATTTCATCACCACCATGTGAAAATAAATAAATCATACCACCATGATCATTACAACGACCCTAAGGAAAAAACACAATTTCTTTTATGATGAAATACTAAATAAAAATTATACTTGTTCGCCTTTCATAATAGGTAAACCAGCTTTGAGTAATTTTGAATGTTCAATTTCATTTGAACGTTGTTCAAAACGACGTACATAAACAATAATAGCAAATTCATAAACAGTAAATGATTCCAAAAGTAAACGAGAATTTTTTGGAAAAAGTTCTCCTGTACCAATTACTACTGGTTTGATATTACTTGTAGATTTTGGTAAACTATAAACACCAATTTGACCATAATCATCAGCAATAAATAACATATAGTCATGTCTATGATGTGGACGTGTATTCAGTTGACGAGCACGATTACGATTATCAAGTACAGCAAGAAAATATGGAATTTCTTTAAAATAAATTGACCATCGATATTGATTATTAGGAACGGTATCAATATTACTGTCAGAAGTTTGATTTAATATAGGACGTGGACGTGACGATACACGACCACGAGGATAATAAGTACCATTGGATCTAGAAGAATTGAAAGTCGTATTAATAAGGAGAATATTTTAATATATACCGGCTATTTCGAGGATAACTATTGTTATTATTATTAGGAGATAATTCAAGTAAATGTGATAAATGTTGAACTCCACGTCCACCTCGTGATCGAATAGATGATCGCATTCGACGTGGATAACGACTTGGTCCAGATCTTATTGACATTAATGGTGATAATTCGTTTTTATTTGATTGGATTTCTTCCTCATAATTATCTGTTAATAATTGTTGATCATCAAATTTCAGTTCACCAATTAAATGAGTAACATCAACTGAAATTGACTCAGGTTGAGATAAATAAGGAATCTGGAAAAAAATGAAAAGATTTAAAAATACAAATAATTAATTTCACTTACTTTCATTTTAATTTCTTTTAATTGTTTATCACGTATTATTAATCGTTGTAAAAGTCCTTCTGTTTCTTCAAAAAATAATAATAATTTTGACATATTTATTTCTCCTCTAAAATAAACTATTTTTTATCTTGGTTTTTGTATTTAAATTGAATATTTTTACTCAAGTATCTTGGGAAGACGGTCTCTCATTAATTGATAATCATTATCAACATCATTTGATTTTATCCTAATTAAAAAAGAAAGCGATCTACATATATATATTTTTTCTAGAATAGTGTATTACGTTGTTTCGAGATTATGAACATGAGTATCAATATGTTTTGTCAGTGTTTGGCGATGATTATCAATACTAATTTTTAAATGTTTACTTCGTTCTTCAATTGTTTTTCTTATAGAATCAAGTTTCGGTATTGCACCCATCTCATTTCGATGAGATAAAACTAGATATGAAAAATGATAATATCTTCTTTTTCATTAAAATCTTTAAATTACGTACGGACATGATCATTAATTCGATTAAATTTTCCTTTACATTGTTTCCATTTATCTTCAAGAACATCTGTTATCATTTGATAATGTTGTTCAATGCATATTTCACATATATCACATTTACAATGTTCACAAAGAATAATCATATTTGATTTTTTCTTACATATTGCACATGGTGGTTGAGCAACCGCGACTTGTTTACGTGTAATTGGAAGATGATTAGATGATAATGATGTTGTTGTTGATAGAATTGTTTGATGATCATTTAGATTATTATCTTCTTCAGTTACTGGAGATAATATAGATGTTACATCGTAATCAACTAATTTAGTCGAAGATACTTGATTTTGCTTGATATGTTGACGAACAAGATCATTGACAACACTATCAACTACTAAAGCCTGCATTTAAAAAAATAATGTTAATTTCATTTTTTCAATAAATTACTCAAGAATCATATTCAAATCAAGAAAATTAATAATTTCGATATAAAGTTTAGCAAATTGATCAGGATAGCAACAACTTACACATACATAAAAATCCCGGTTTGTATTACTAGTTCTTTATGTTCATAAGAGCTATTTTAATAAGTGACTCTGTATATAATCAGAAAATATGTTTTCTTATAAAAATTCACCTTATCAAGTTCATCTTGTGATTTAAATCGATGTATAATTGAACAATTACAAGATAGTGTATAATTATTAACAAGTTTTAGACAACATAAATAACAATAAACACAACCACAATGAAGACGACGAGCATCAGAAAATAAATTTTTACATATTAAACAACGAACAAGATGATCAGGTAGATAACAGGCCATAATATTCTAGAATAAATCAAAGCTCATACAAATATCTTAAGCTATACATATACATAGGCTCTCTCTCCCTCTCGTTATCTTTTTTTTTATTAATCGTTTCGTCAAATACATCTACATGTTATTTTTTTTTACTATAAAACAAAAAGCAAAAATTGAAGACAAAAACTAATAAAATCATAATTGTTTAAACATAACATTTGACAATGCCTTTCGTATTTATTCTAACACCAATAAGAATTTCATCCATAGGTGCTATCATCATTCCATATGCATCAATTTCTTCAATTGTTCCAATAATATTATGTTGTTTACTTGTATCAAGTTGAAAATAAATATGTTTTGATGGTCCTGTTTTTAATGTACTCATTTCATCAAGTTTAATAAGTAAACTATTATCAGAAAATAATGCCATATCCCAACAAAAATGTGTCGATTTATTATGTATATTCACATATTCATATAATTCTTGTTTTGTTCGTTTATCATAAATATGTATTGCTTGTCGATTTTTATCTAGAACGGCTATAACATTTTTATTCACAGATATATGTATTGGTGCAAATGGTTTGGAAAATTGTACATGTAAATGACGTTTTTGAAGATGTTCTTCAGGATTATTTGTTTTTGTATCTGGTAATTCATAATAATATAAACAAAGTTGTTTTTGATCTAATGACCAAAGAATATTTTTTTCGGTATCAATTGTTAATTCACGTGATGGATGATTATGTATACATTTACCATTTGCAACTAATTTACCTTCATGTGTAAATAAATAAATAGTACCATGTAATTCATTTTTTTTACGTTTAAATACAATTATCCATAATTTATAAACAACAAATGAATCAATTATTGTTTGATCTTCATCATTTGTTGTTGTACTAGGATTATCTTTAAATAATTTAATTTCACGACATAAACTTGGCTTTTGACGCATATCATTAGCTTTATTTAATTTGTAGATGGCTAATGAACCTAGTAAGAACACAAAAAAAAACGTTTAATATTTATTATATATGTATATTCAAACCATATTTATCACAAACAAATAAATGATTTTCATATGTTCGAACATAATACGGAACAGAAAAATAATCAATTTGCCATAGTTTTTTCTTTTGTATATTTGTAGTCGATAATGGTAAGGGTATTTGTTCATTTTTAATTAATAAATTATTTTTATTATTATTATTTGATGGATTAATAAAAACAAAATCTTCATCTTCAGATTTTAATTGAAAATCATTATAACCATTTGTTGTTTGGGATACATAAGGATCAGATCTATTTATATCAGTATTTAATTGAATAAAGTCAAGTGTACCAAATAATGATGATGCATCGATTTGTTCTGGAAGGGTAAGCATTGGAAACTAAACAATAATATTTTAATTTTGAAAATGAAATCAATCATATACACTACTTTTAATTCATTGGAATCAAGAAGTTTATTTAAATTATCTAAACGTCCTTCAAGATGTTCAATTTCAAATAAAAAATCATTAATTTTATCAGCATTAACATCAGCAGATCTAATCATGAAAAAAAATAAACATACTCCAACACGAAACAATTAATGATAAGAATCAAATACCTAAATAATTCTCCAACTCGTTTATCAATTGATTCATATTCGTCAACAACTTGTTCATGTGCAAAACTAAATAATCATATAAAAAATCATCGTGTTAAAGTTTCGATAATGATCTCCTGACTCAAGATTTTATTCATAAAACAACATACCTTTGTTTATGAGTTCGAAGATGATTTTCAATAATATCAATATACATATTCTTTCGATCTTCTACTGTCTGAATTAATTTGTCACTATGTTGAGTAATATATGTTTGTAAATTACGTGCTTTATTATTAACTTCCTCTTCATCACTATCAAAACGCACTAAAAATATATAAGAATAAAAAACTAATAATCTTTTTGTTGAAAAGAAAAATTACTTGATTGTTCATTGATTGTTTCAAATTTTATTTTACATAAATCCCATTGTTGTTTAATATCGTCATTAATAATACTTTGATGTTCGTTAGCACATTTAACACAAATAACATTATCACAATGATTACATACAATTAATTCTCCTCGTATATTACATGTTTGACATTTAGCAATAAGTGAACGTGTTGGTGTTGGTGTTGATGTTGTTGTTGTTGTTTGTTGTGAAACAGAAGCAGGTCTTTGTTGATTAATAATTGATGATGTAGAACGTTCTGAACCTGATTGATCATGATTATATGAATTAATTTCTTGTTTTGTTATTAATTGTATAGGTGTGGATGAAAATATTTGTGATATTTGTGAAATTGTTGATGATGGACGTGATAGTAATCCTGATGGTATAGCTGATAATCGACTTTGACTTTTCTTAAATTGAGCGACCATTGATGAAAGAAATCCATCACGCATACATCGATCATGAAATTCCTCGAATGAATTATATTGATGAAATTTTTCACATTTTGGACAGACTAATGTTAATGTTTCCTCATCGAAACGACCTGATATACAGTCAAAACAAAATGAATGTGAACATGGGATCTAAATAAATATATATAGTTCAATAAAAATAGAATCTTCTTGTTTGATTTTAAACATTTTTACTTGTCGAGGATCAGCATAATAATTTCGGCATAATTCACATGTAACAAGTTTAGCATTAATCATACTTAAATCAATTCTATTATTATGGTGGCATTAGTATTTAGTAAAATCTGAAGAAGAAAAAAAAAACAAAAGTTCAATAGAGTTGTTTTTTTATTTACACTGTTTTGAGTTTGAATCTGACAAGAAAAGAAAAAGAAAAGAAAACCGTGACTATTTTAATTATATATCTGACTTATATGAAATTGAAACAAGTAATAAAACAAGAAGAAATATATGTATATATTAAACATTAAATAATTTCGAATTATCTATCAAACATAACAAGTAATGAGACCTTCGAAACAATTTGATTTTCTTAAACCAGCAATAACTTCTGAATTAGGACCAATTGCAAAACCATAAACATTAGTTGCTTGAATTTGTGATATTGGTTCATATTTACCATTTGATTCATTTTTTTTAACATGTACAACAATATGATGAATAACTTGTGAACGATCACCAGTACGTTCATTATCATCAAAACGTAAGAGAAGACTATTATCAGGAAATATTTCAACACGCCATAATTTATTCTCACCGGTTGGTAAACATTCGGCTGAATATACACCAATTTCTTTTTGAGTTATTTTGTCATAAAATGTTACTATTTGTGTTCGAGAATCTAAAGTGAATCATTATTTAATTTACATACAAAACGATCGTATACGTCTTTATATAAAATCTTTTGAGTTCAAGTGTATAACATACCGAGTAATGCGAGAATATTTTGATTAACTGCCATACGAATGACATCACAACTTCGATCATTTAAACGTGTTGTCGTTTTATGTGTAGCTAAAAATGTTGGAATTTCTTTATTGGTTCGTGGTAAATCATGTTTATAAATACAATGCATGCCTCGATCGACAGCCCCTTTTTTGAATAAATAGAAAAAACAAATAATAGATCGAATTAAAATTAGTTTTAATCCATACATATACAATTTCCTTTTGAACTTTCATCACAAACTAATTGACGAAGTGTATATCGATGATCATATTCAACTTTCAGTTGTAATTGTCCAGCATGAGTAAAAAAAGCAATAAAATTAGAAAGTGATTCATCAGATCCTTTAACAAACACACATATATATGGTTTATCTAAATCAAATCAAAATAAATAAATAAATTGATTTAATTTTTTTTATATACAAAACTTACAGACACTGAATGATTCGACATAGACACGAGACCAAGTACCAACACGAAATTGTGGAAAGAGAACAAATGATTTTTTAGGTACAGGTTTGGTACGTGCATTTGTATAAGCCCATGTACTAAAATTCATTCATTTTAGATTATATATATATATTTTCTGAAAAAGAGAATTTAAAATCATACCTAACGAATCCCCAACGATCTGATGCAAATAAAATCGATTGTCGATAAAGTGCAATATATTGTGGTACAAATTTAAAATGTAAAGACCATAAAAGTTTTTTAACTGGAATATTTTCTAATGTTGGAACTTGTGATGAATTCTCACATTCTTTTACTTGTTCTTCGTGAACTTTTTCATCTGGTATTTGTTGAGCTTCATCTGAACTTACACTTTCATTATCATTTATTTCTTCCTCTTCTTCTTGAATATAACTTTCATGACGATTATCATCATCATCATTTATGAGTTTAAGATGTTCAAGAGATGTTTCAATAGAAACTGTTCCGAGTAGTGATGAATCAAAATCTGATACTGAATAAATTGGTAATTTATGTGCATATTCATCAGTTTGTTTAGATCGTTGACGTAGTTTAGTTTTAAAAACATTTATTTCTTTAAGAATTTGTTCAGCTTTAATCGGATCTGGATCTTTTGAACTAAAACAAAATTAAATATATAAAAAAGAATTTTTTTGTATTACAAACTTCAGAAATAATTGAATATTTTGATCAATACATTGAAATTGTGTTGTTATTTCTTGACGAATAGTATTATATGTCTCTGAATATTGAGTAATTTTATTTTGATATATATGTCGACATTTTTCAATCGTTTCCAAAAGAAAATTTGAACGCTTTTCAATACGAGATTTTAATTCATACATATGAGATTCAAGATCAAATTGTTGTTCATCGAATAACACTTCATAACAAAAAATTCATTTTAAAAAATAAAATAAAAATAAAAATAATTACTCGATTTTTTATACATAAAATTCCACATATCTTTACATTTCGTCCAATTTTCTTGAACATTATTATTTACAATCAATTGATGCTGAGAAATACATTCAAAACAAATGACTTGTTCACATTCAGGACAGACAACTGAAAAAGAAAACTTATCTCTTGTCATTGTAATTTTTATTTTTTTAGAATAATACCGAGTTCTTTTCGCAATGTACATTCAGCACATTTTGCAATAAGAAATGGAGCTGGACTTCGCTCAAGAATTTGTTCAAGTGTAAATGCTAATAATGGTGTTGATTGAATATTATTTTTACGCCGATGTTCAGTTACCAATGACATAAGAAAAGCATCGACGATTAAACTCGTTTCAAAATGTGAAAATGAATCATATTGATGAATACGTCTGAAGAATAACACAAAGAAAACTTATATTTAAATTATCAAAACTGTCAAAGAAAAAATAACTCAGATCTGAAAATCGGAAGTATTTAAGTAGTGTAATTCTTATAGGAAATGTTATTTTCATAATAAGAATCAAACCCTTCTTCAAAGTCAAGGAGAATGAAATAATAAATTATGGCGAAATACAATAAAAATGAATGTCATAATACATCATTTTCTTATGATCGGATTTATCATCTCGAGTGTGATTTAATGTCAATCGTGAAGTATCTCAGTTTCAATAAAAAAGCTTGTTAGTGCAACCCCGTTGACGCAAAAAATGTGAAACTCACCTATATTCGTCTCAGAGTCACGTGGTAACCTTTAAGTCTATGATCTACTCTTATCCGTGAAAAAAAACGTATCTGTTACTATTGAAACTTCTTCACAGGTACTATAGAAGATTTTATATGCGATAGCATTTGAGAGATATGTCAACTATCAAACTTGAATTCAAAATTTATGATTACGATGTTTTTTGAAGGGTGGGTGATATATTAACCTGTCACTCATACCTACACTCTTATTCCAGATCATACACAGCACCTCATCTATTTTTAGTAAAACTTACGTGCATCGTGAACAAACAATTCTATTTGACGTAGTATCGAATTGTGATATTATACATTTATAACAAAATGAATGACCACATCGTAATTGTCTAGCATCCTTGAATTAAAATACAATTATAATAATTAGTACAAGAAAAGAATTCTTACATGAAATAACGATTGACAAACTGTACATAAAAGAATATTGCGTGATATTGACATATTTCATTGAGTTCTAAAAGAAAGATTTTAAAATTGAACTGAAAAAAAGAAAGAAAAGTTCAAATGAAAATAAATACATAAATAAATATAAATATATGATTTATATCTAATCATCATGTTTATTAATAACCAGTAGAAATGAAAGAAAAAACGAAAATAAACATAAAATATGAAAAAGACCAAAAAGGAACAAACGAAAATTACGCTAATAGTTTGTTATGTTAAAATGTAAACTTAACTTCCTTTTTTGTGTTTTTCTTGCATTTTTAATCCATATCACAATGAACAATGAAAGTAAATAGAGAAATATGAGCAAAACCAAAAAGAAAAAGAGAACAAATAAAGTTTCCTATGTACAAGATATCTTTCAACGCGAGTGAAAAAAAAGAAAAGAAAAAAAGTCTTGTTTTGTCTTGACTAGATCAAACAAATATAATCAAGAACAAGCAAAGAAAGAACTATATAGTACACATCATTATCAGCAGCAGCAGCAGCATTAAACAAAACAAGGTTACATTCTCACCGATAATCACAGATATAAATCATCCTTTTTTTAGACAAAAAAACTAAAAATATACAATAAAAGATGATATTTCACTTTTTTCTTTCATACAGACAAAAAATAATCATGGTATTTTATTCCTAGTTTTTATTTCAGTTCTAAATAACTCCACCGGAATTTGGGGTTTTTTTCATTAATCATTGTTCGTTTATTTTCTTACATAACATTGAACAATACCACTCTCTTTTGTTTGCCGAATACCCAAAATAACTTCATTACTAGGTCCAATAATCATTCCAAATACTGAATTGAGTTGAATTTTACTTATTATTTGTTTTGTTGAACGATTTACTTCATAAACAATATGTTGTCGAGTTACTGCATCATGATCAGCACGTTCATCAACTTTAAATATAAGACTATTGTTATCTTTTCGTATGGCTAAAACAAAAAAAAAGAATAAAATTAATATCATTAAGGGTGGAGTTAAAAAGGTTCGTTTTGTTTCCATCTTGAAAGTGTGAGTGTGGGTGAAAGCGAAAAGGATAGTACCCACACCCTTTAGATGAAAAGAAAATGAAATATGATCTTACCAATAATTCCCCAACTTTCAAATTTATCCATACAATGTTCACATTTAAATTCTTCAATTTTTTCTGCTGTTTGTTTATTATATAAATGCACTGTACAATCATTTCGTTCATAAAATCCTAAAATATCATCATTCTGTAACATTTTAACAGCTGTATAATTAGGATTAAATTGTGTAAAATCACGTCGTGTTTTCATACATGTTTCAATTTCAGCTAAACTATTTGGTAATGTATGATAATAAATTGTACAACGCATACGATCAAGACAATAAAGACGATTAGCATTTTGATCACATAGAATATGATGTACTGGAATACTTTGATGTATACCATTTGGTAAAACTGGTTTACATTCATGATTAAAAAAATATAATGTACCAGTCATTGTATCCTGTTTTTTACGTGAATAAACAATAAGAAATCTTGATGATGCAACAACAGATTCAATCCATTCATCTGTATCATTTGGAAATAATATATATGAATCAAATGGTTTGGTGGGTTTAGGTGGAATACTACAAACAGACACTTTACCATATTTATCAACAACAAAAATTTTTGGTGTAGGATAAGGTGTCATACATAAAAAATTAGGTACTAAAACAACATAAATGAACATTTATTTACATAGGAAAGTTTTTGAATTATATACCAGCTGTATGTTCAATTTTCCATGATTTAACAAATGTACCACTTGTTGAAACAGTTCGATTTGGTATAGTTGTTAATAATGATTTGATATTTTTATCATTTCCACCATTAGTTGTAATTCCATCAGATGTTGATATTGAATTTGATGATGATGGTAGTGGTTGTGATTGTGTTTGTGATGGTGGCGGTGGTGAAGAAGTATTAATTACTTTACTATAAGGTGCATTGAATTGTTGATGAATTTGAGCTGCCATACGAAGAAATTCTTTAAATGTATCACCATTACCATTTGTATGTGTATCTGCCATTAATGGTTTAACTGTAGTTTTATCATTTATTGATGTAACAGAATTCATTGATAATGTATTCGTATTTATTAATGGTGGAGATATTCCTGGTGGAATTCTCATTGATGAATTTGAATTTGATATTAACTGACTTGGTGAAATCGAAGGATAATCAAAAAAACCATTTTGTTTTGGTGAATGTTTTTGATTTAATAAAGGAGATTTTGTTAAATTAGGAATACCATTCATCATACGAGGATTAAAACGAAGTTCACCAAGTAATTTTTCAATTGATACTCGTTCGTATCGAGTAATGTTTGGAATCTATGATTAATTAAAAACAAAAACATATAAATTCGCTTTATTTTTATTGACTTATTACTTTTAAAATATGTGTTTCAATTAAATCACTACGTTTATTCATTCGAATTTGAAGTTCACGAATATCGTGTAGAAAATCATCTTGAGTATATGAACCAATATCTTCTCCATTTAAAGCACATTCAAATCGATTTTGTATTTGATGAAATTCACTAGTAAGTTCATTATGTTTATTACTTAAAATATAAGAATAATAGATATATAGATTTAAAAATAAATGAAGAAATTTTCAAAATACCTATTTATAGTTTGTTCTTCATTAATATGTTTATTAATTTGATTAACTAATGAATCACGTTGTACAACAACAAATTCAATAGCATCACGTGTTCGTTGTTCAACAGCAACTCGTATAGCAGCAAGATCACTTTCAATTTGTGTTCTATCACGATTATATTGATCTATTGATATTTAATAGAAAGAAAAATTGATATGTAAAAATAGAAAAAAACAACTTACTTAATTTTTGAAGTAAAGTACTATATTTATTTTTACATTCTTGCCATTTATTTGTTAAATCTCGTGTATCAACTTTCGTAGTTGTTCGATGTTCTTCAGCACATTTAAGACATACAAAATGATCACAATGTTCACATACCTTAATAGGATTTTGTTCTTAATAAATTGAATCATTATTAATTTAATCTACTTACTATAACTTGACATTTATTTCCACAACTGTGACAACGTGCAATAACAGCATCGGAAGCAGATGATATTGATGCCGGTGCTGGTTGTAGCGGCGGTGGTGGTGGTGGTGGAGGTGAAACTATTGTATTAAGTAATGAAGGTGGTGGTGGTGGTGTATTGTTCGTTGCGGGCACTTTTTGTTTTGCTAATCTTGGCATGATATCTGCTGCAGGTGGTCTAGTTGGCATAAGTGGCATTGGAGGTGGTAGTTTCGTAGTGACAACAACAGGTTCCACCGGTGGTGGTGGTGGCGGTGGTGGTGGAGGAGGAGAAGTATGTGTCGATGTTGCTTCTGGTGGTGCGCCTGGTGGTGCTGTTGGTAATTTTGCAGCTGCTTTCTTTACTTCTTTATTTGCAGATTTTTCTGCACCAGATGCTTTTTCCATTGGCTATATATACATATGTATACAGATAAAATGAACTAATTCAATATTTTTCTTTTTATCTTACCATTGATGATGCAAAACTAACTTCACGTACTGTTTTTTTCTGTCCAAAATTCGAATGTGCTACTGTTACTAATGATTTTTTAAATATATTTTTTGATTTAAATGGATGTACTGCATCGCATACTGGACATACAAGAGTATTATCCTCTTTATTGAATAATTCCAAACAACATTTATGACACACAATATGACCACTATAAAATCACGAAAAAATAAAATAAGAATTATTAAATATTTTAAATTACCATGGAATTTTACGTGGTTCATTACCATAAATATTATCACTAGATTAGAAAAGAAAAACATATTTAATTAGAAATAAATATAAATAAACTATACCAGTTAGGACAATTATCTGGATTCGACATATTAATCTTTAAGAACAATTAAGTAAACATATACATCTAAAATATAGTTAAATTACATAACACAAAACAAAGCAAAAAATCATGATCACGCATGTTGGTTAATTCTCTATAAAGAAATGAAATGAAAAAAAAGAAAACAGAACACTCTTATGTAGTCAAGAAGAAAGAGAAAAGAAGTATAATTTTTTTCATAGAATTACAAGAAGAAAAAAAAGAGCATCATTTAATATTTTAAAAGTTATCCATATCTGATATGATGACTTATCTAAATAAAACTGTTCATAGAAATTATCAGGTTTAAATATAGCATTCAATTAATCCATTTTGTTGATATTTTTTACAACCAAGTAAAATTTCATTATTTGGTCCAATCGCAAAACCAAAAACAGATGTACGTTCAATTTGAGACATGACAGCACCATTTGAATCAAGTTCAATAATAAGATGATTTATTAAAGATGGACGACTATTTGGAGGTAAATCTTCATCAAGTTTAAGCACCATGGATTTATCATCACGAAGCTAAACGAAGTTTTTTTAGTTATGAATGAATTAAGTAAATTACTTACTAAAGCATTCCATAAACGAAATACTCCTTTTGTACGTAATAGACTTTCAATTTCATTAATTTGTTTTTTTGATTGTTTATCATATATATATGCACTTTGTGAATTACGTTCAACAGTAGCAATTGATGTTTGATTTTGAGTTATTCTAATTGGTTCAAAATCACGACCAAATTTAAGAAATTCTTCACGTTGTTTCATATATTCTGGAATTTGTTGAACATTCATAGGTAATTGATTATAATAAACTAAGAGAATAAAATTATGAAAAAGAAAAGAAAGGATATGAATATCATACTTGAATGTTGATGACGATCAACTCCCCATAGACATTTAAAAGCAACATCAGCTGATAATTGTCGAACAGGAAAATTTTGTAAACATGTATCACCTTGTTGATAACCACGATGATCAAAAAAATAGATTGAACTTGTATCAGTTTGATCACTCAAATCTCAATAATAATAAAAAAAGAACAAATTCATTTAATTTTGATTAAAATATTTTAAACATACGAGTTGCAACTACAATAAATGGTGTATAGACAGTAAATGTTTCAATAATCTGTGGTTGTTTACTCGTCGTATTTCCCGGAAAAAGTTCAAATTGACGTAAACGACGAGGACCATTCTTTGGTGTATTACTATCCAATTGATATAGATCAATAGAACCAAATTTATCACAAGCAAAAAGAAGATGATTTTTCTTGGAAAGTACACATAGAAAATGAGGTACACCTGCTGTATCTGTTGTCCATTGTTTTTGTCTTTGTATTATAGGTAATGTTGCTGTATCCTCTGGTATGATTGTTGATTTCTCTTGCAATCCATCATTAGTCTCAGTAGAAATATGATCATTTACGGTTGAATTTAATGAACGATTATGTATAATCAATGGTTTAGTCAAATTATGATCCGACATTGGTTTAGAATTCCATTGTAATTGGCCAAAGACATCGGATATACTTAGCGATTTTGGAGGGGATAAATGAGGGTACTATAAAGAAATAAAATTACTTTCTCTAGTCGTTTTTCTATTAAGATTAATAGGTAATATGAAGAAATTAGTTTCACTTGAATTTTGGTGATTCATATACTTCCTATGATGAAAGTTTGTAGTTTCCCCTCTCGGAAGTAAAAAATGATTTTCAAATAGATTGAGTGTCATGTGGTTTTTTAAATAGTCACTGATGCACTTCACGTTTTCATTGGATAGAAGGTTAAAATTTATTAAAACAGAATTGTTTATATCTTACTTTGAGTGAATTAGTCTGTAATTGTTTTTCTCGATTATAAATTAATGTATTCAAATGTTTTATTTCCAAACAAAATTCATCCATATTATTAAATGTATTCGGATCTCTAAGTACATATATATTGAAAATTTTATAAAATATTTCGAATAGATTCTTACTGAAATACAGTATTCAATCGTTGATTAATCGAATCATATAATTGTTGGAGATCTGTATGTTGTGTACTAAGAATATACATGAACATTATTCTTAAATAAATCTAGTTTTTTTAAAACTTACTTTGATAAATTAAATTGAATATACTCTTCTATTTTATTTAATAAATTATTTTTTTCATTCTCAATTAAATGTACTAAATCCATACGTCGTTTATTAATCCTTAATCTTACTTGATCTATTTCATTTTCAACATTTATCATATCTTTATCATAATTATCTAGATATTAAAAGACAATCAAATTCATAAGAAACCGTCACAATAATTTATCTAATACCTGATTGTTGACATAAATTTATGTATTTTCTTTTACATAAATTCCAGTGTTCTTTTAATGTTTCATTTAGATTTACTTGATGTTTATCAAAACATTTTTGACAAATAACTTCATCACAATGTGAACATACAAATAGATTAGTTTTTATAGAACATGATGAACATTTAGCAATAATTGACGATGGCTTATGATTGGTTGTCATACTCAAAACACAAAAAAATATAATATTTATCTGAAATTAAGAAGAATGAACAGCAAAAAAAACAATCTTTGGAGTTTTTTTTTTATTAATAAAAACGAGAAAAGGATGAACAAGTAGACAGATGTTCCAAAAAAATAATTTTACAATGTAAATTAAAGTTTCATCACATGAATTCATCCGATTCATTACCATCCTAAAACAAAATATAAGATTACAAAAATAAAAATATGACTTTTTCTATTCTTTGTGAATGGAATGTATTCATCTATCTTTTATTAAGCAAATTTACATGACGATTTTTAACAGATAGTACTACGTGATATTTCTCAGAATAGGAATATTTGAAGTTCATGATGATTGATTACAATCATGTTCCGTTAGAATCTATTTGAATAGTCTATGTATTGTACATAATGTTGGTCACATGTAGTGTACAAGGGATTTGTCAGAACATCTCTTTATTTAATATCGAAGATAAAATCATACCTTATTTGATTTCATTTTATCCGATTGCATGAGCGATGTATAATTTCTGAAAAAGAAAAGAATTTGTTTTAAATAAAATTTTAAAATTTTCCAACTTTAATTCTGCGGCTTCTTGTCGACGTTTCTCTTCTTCCTTATCACGTTGTTTTTGTTCTCTCATTAAACGTTTTTTATCTTCTCGTTCTTGATTATCACGTTGTTCACGTTGGCTCTAAATATAAAATAAATAAAATTTCAAAAAAATTAAAAAACGAAATCATACAATAAAATCTTCTGTTGAAATTTCCGTTTTTGTTTTATTTAATCGATTAACAATTTCATTTTGTTTTTTGTCTAAAACATATTGCTTTACCTTTGAAAACAAATATAAAAAAGAATTTCAACTAATAATTCAATCTTACATGTTTATCAACATGAAATCCAACTTGACCAACATCCATATCATTTGTTTGTCGAAGATTTCCAACAGGTGTATAAACAATATCAACTTTACTCAATTTACATCCTTCAATACTATTAGCTTTAACTAATTGACAACAATCATGTAAAGCTGCTGGATCTATATTATCAATACTTTCACCCTAGATCATATAAACTATAATCCTATCTTAAAGCTGTTTTCAAATTACCTTATGAAGTCTCAAATAAACATGAGCAGACGATAATTTACTAACATGAAACCTAAAATTTCACGATAATATGAAATCTAATTTCAATTATTCTACGAACCAAACATCTTCCGGCCAACAATATTTCAATAATTCATTATCTAATTAGATATTAAATTAAATCGAGAACAATTTTTTTAGTATTTTTACTTTCATATTTATCTCGACCCATATAAATTGTATAAGGTGGATCGACAACTATAATATTATAAAAAGGAAAATTTCGTTTAAATTAAATAAAATATTTTACCATTGCTAGTAAAAAAGAAAACCATTGTGATTTTTGAAATTAAAATCTAAAGGATAAATAATATCGTTTATTGTATTTTAAAATTTACAGGGAATTTCGATTGTTTCCCAATCTTAAGATATTTAATTGTTTTATCGAACTGTTTGAATTCGATATCTCAAATGATTTACCAATCAAAAGATATATGAAGTTAATCGCTTTTTTTCTTCTGATGTCGCTCTTGATTTTCGGAGACCAAATAAATTTTGTTGAAAACCATAACAGATGGCGCTATTCCGCATTATTTTTATGAAATTTTATTGAAAAATATCATTAGAAATTATCAAATATTTATTAGAAAATATCCTTATAAGTTATTGATATAAACAGAGACTTTCGATTCTTTTCGTTCAACGTGTTAACTATTTCTTTTCGATAAGAATGAAATATTGGGTATTTTCTTTCTTTGGAATAACCTTTATTACACTTTATCGATAAAGATGTTTATTTTACTATAGATAACAAAATCGTTTAGTCTAGAAATCATATCCATGAACATACAAAATTAATGTTTATATACAACTGGTATAGTATTTCTTTTATTTCTATTAAAGTGTATACGTAAAGAAAAATTTTGTTAACTGTTAGATATTCTTTACAATATTTTAAATGAAGCATTTGATTCTTAGGCATTCTCTAGTGTTCTTGAAAATTTCAAGTATTTATTAAGAACATGCTAGTCAGTTAAAAGATTTATAGTTTCATTCTCTCTCTTATGTTACAACGAAAACATATTCTAATAACTAAATCATACACCTATATATTATTCATATGTAATGACATTTTTCTATTTGCTTTCGTTAATAACTGAATAAACAATATAGAAAATCGAAAAAGACCCTAAAAATAGGTACGAAAACATATTTACAGGATTATATATATGTAATTCATATGTTGCGATAAAGTACCCTCGAAAACAAATGAGAGTTTTTTTTATATACCCTTGCGCTGCACAGTACAGCGAATAAAAGTAAATAGTAACATCATTTATATCGATATAAATTCATCACAAAAAAAAAGACTGATATTCATGATAAAAACTGCCTCAAGCTGTGATTCACTAGTTAGGTAAAATTTTTTATTATAGAAGAAAACTTCGATATTTACAGTATTCGTTAGATCATAGTAAAGATTCTTTTGTAAGTGTAAATCTTTCATTTTCATCAAAACGTGAAAAGAAATTGTTCTAAATAATTTATACGCAATATTATCTTGAGGGCAGGAATATCTGTTTATTTTTCGACATGAAAATATTTTCGAAATATTATTAAGACCGGTATCTTTACATGATTTTGAGAAAAAAATGCTTTTTCTTTTTCGAATTTGCGTTTATTTGTTTATGTGTAACACTGTGAAGTGCTTACATGACTTTTCATGTATTTTAATGTACGTGAAATTTTTTCAGACATACTAATCATATTGTTTAGATAAGAAATATTTTCTAAAAATATTTCCACCCACATCTATGCGATTCATATAGTATATAAATCATGTATTTTTCATTTGATTGTTACATTAAAAACGTAAGTACTATTCTAACTTTTTCTTTTCATTTAGATTTAAAAGTAGGTCAATAATATTATGATAATAAATTAATATACTAAAAAATAAGAAGAATATATTATCAAATGATTTTTTTGTTTTAGATTATTATTCTTATAAAGTTTATTTTCAATAAAAATGTCTTCAGCCGATACAATTGAATCTGTTCAAAAAGCTGTTTTAGCCGAAGTAACAAGACAAGATCATTCATTAAAACATGTTCAACCACCAGCTGAATTATTATCTACAACACAAGCTCGAGTTTTACTTGAAGTACAAGGTGGTAAACATGATTTAAATCATGTTCCAAATCCACCACGAGGTGGTTTAACTGATGCTGAAAAACAAGCTTATTTAGAAGAAAAACAACAAACACAAAATTAATCTTTATCAACAGCAACAGAAAAAAAATGAACTGAATATACAGCTAATGTTTCTTTATCATTTGCTTGCATAATTCTTTTAACTTATTTTCTTCTTTTTTATCAGAACAAAACTTAATTTGCTAAATAAAAGAAAAAAACATCTCTCATTTTAACAAAACTATTGATCGATAAATATTAGAACTAAATCAATGTTTTATTGGACATATTATTTCATCAAATGTAATATCTCTAACAATAAAATAATAAAAACATTTTACCCTACCTAATATTTCAATAACAGATAATAAAATATAGTATTCCATCGGCAGTCGAGTGTAACTGGAAATATAATGTACGCAGTTCTTCCATGGATTTGAATATCAATTCATAGACTTTGAAAGAATCAAGAAGAATGGATTGGTTTCATTGAATGTGAAATAGGAAAAATAATTATTAAAAAAGAAGGCATATTGTATATTATCGGAACATATATCACATGTCTACAAATTCCATTCTTATCTGTTCGTTTAGTTTTGTATACATCCTTTGATTCTTTTTTTTCTCATAAAAAAAACCGTTTATTGTAGCCATTTTCATTAAAATGGGATCAGATCGTAGTCGGATAATTTGTATTATTATAGATATAATTGTTGTGCAGTAGTACATAGTTTAGAGAACAAGAGAAAGTTGAATATTTACATAAAACTATGCTTTCTTTTAAAACCTTTTTATCAATGGGAGAAGCATTGGTTATTATTATTTATTTAATCTATAAGATGAATAGAAACTAGTAAAATAACACAAAGATCATGAAATACTCTCAATTAACCTTCATTTATTATAAATACTTTTTTTTAATGTTTTCTTTTATCACAGAAAGCGACTATAGAAAAAGGACTTTAAATATTTCTTTTTCTATTAATGATATGCATAGAAAAACATGCACAGCTGTATTTACTGTTACATTATGTCTGACTTATAAGAAAAGTTCCTATAAAAGAGTTTACGGAGTATGTATTTAACCTGACTTTAATTTCAGTTTAAATCAATCGAATATTATTATGGATTTGAAGAAATTTATATGACTTTTATTTAAATCGTATGATGTTTCATTGTTTTTGTATTATCAATATGACTAAAGTACAAGACGTGTAAAGAACTTCACACTTTCATTTGCTCCTTTAGATAGCACACATTTTATATGATAAGATAATGTATGATGACTAAAGGTGTTTGTGTAATAATGTGTATATCTTGCATACACATCCTTTTTTTGTTTGTGACATATTGACATCAAACTCACTTGAAGTTTTTTTTCTTTTTCAATATAAACATGAGACGTCCCACAAGTGTAGCATCTGATTATGATTTTATTTTCAAAATAGTTGTTATAGGAGATAGTTCTGTTGGAAAGGTATGAATAAAAAACAATTTTATATTAATATTTATATTAAATTTTATTAAGAGTAATCTTTTATTACGTTTTACTCGTAATGAATTTCGTCTTGATACACAATCAACTATTGGAGTAGAATTTGCTAATAGACAAGTTATTGTTGATGGGAAAAGAATTAAAACTCAAGTTTGGGTATATTATTATTATTTTTTCTTAATTATTTAATTTTTCTACAAATATATTATATTTTTTATGATAGGATACAGCAGGTCAAGAACGTTTTAAAACAGTTATACCACAATTCTATCGTGGTAGTGAAGGTGCTTTAGTTGTATTTGATTTAACTAAATGGGATACATTTGAACATGTATCAACTTGGGTTGAAGAAGTTTATCGACATACACCAGCTGATCTACCAATTGTTCTCGTTGGAAATAAATCAGATCTAATAGAACAACGTAGAGTATCACGTGAACAAGCAACAGCTCTTGCTGAACAACTTAATCTATCATATATGGAAACATCAGCATTGGATGCAACGAATGTTGAAGCAGCATTTATTTTACTTGTTTCAAGTATTTATGAGAAGAGAAAACCTTTACAAATAGAATCATCCTTATCAATAACTGAACGAACATTAACAGTCCTAGCATCAGATGATCATTCCAATGCGCAAACGATTCCTATTACATCAGAGACAACAGATGACCTTGATAAACCAATTCGTCCTTCAGGTAAAGAAAAGAAATCGTCTCAGAAGAAAAGTGGTTGTTGTGTGATTTCATAATAATATCCAATAGTTATATTTTTTTTGTTGATGAATAAATAAAAAAATACACGAGAAAATTTTTATTTTTTGAAATTATATCAGATATTTTTAGTACAATATGTGATTTAAATTATAAAAACAATTGCGCAGTAATACTAGTTCAGAAAGTATATAATTCTATTTTTGTTCTTATTTATCTCATATATTTTCCACTTGGCTACGATTTTATACTT